ACTTACTTCTATTTTTCTCCCACTGTATTCCCATTACCAATTATAGGATGTGGGACCTGACAGGTGCTCAGCAAATCTTTGATTAATTACATTTCACAAGTTACTTCCTCCTTCACACCTTGATTTTCTACATGACAAAAAGGCTGCAGTAGATCAACATATTCACTTCCAGCTCTAAAAACCTGCACTTTTTTTAGTGCAACACGTCATCATATAGAGCATCAGTAAAATCATTCCAGGATATCCGGGTTTGAACTTATGCCCAGTCACAAGTTTCACAACACCTTACTCACTGCAGTCCTGCCTAAGTTAAACAAAATGAATTTACCCTGTCAAAACTGTTGGCACTATCACAGCCTCCTTCTCAATCATATGTTAAGGCAGGAAGAGAAATCAAAGTAGCTATTGTAAGAGTAGCTTAAAGTATGTCTGACCATTGAGCTAAAACAGAAAAGTTGATGGTCATAACAACAGCTTCAAAGGCAGCTTCAAATTTTAGCTTCTTCAAATGCTTGAAGAGTCAAAAAAAAATCTTAATTGGTTGAAGGTGCACTTACTTAAGATAGGATATTTATTTTTTCAGGAAGTATATATCACAGTTACATTCCTCAATTGTTAATTAGAAATCACTTTCTAATCTTTCATAATTTTTACTGAAAAATGAAAACACATTATTTTTTAAAGCTTTAAGTAATACCATTTCAACAAAGCAACAACTAAATCATAAAACTATTACCTTACAAATTTAGGTTTTATTAAATATATTTACTGAAGATTAAAATGTAAGATTTGCATTTCAAAGTATGTTCCTTATCTACAAAAACATCTTAATGGTTTTCAGATTATCCCCACTTATTATGAGGAAACTCTGGCTTCAATATATTTCAAATTTCCTTATGAATGCTTATCATATACAAAAACCATGGCAGATACCACAGGGAAGTAGGAAACCTCAAGGAAACATTATATTCTCCAACTTAGGATCTAATTTGGGTATACATGGCTTTAAAAGGAACATGGGATAGGTGCTATGGCACAATAGGTGAAAGCCACTGCTTATAACACAACCACAATGGTGCCAGTTCAAGTCCTGGCTGCTTCACTTCTGATCCAGCTCCCTGACAGCATCCCATGCAAAGCAGCAGAAGATGGGCCAAGTGTTTGGCCCCTGTAACCCAAGGAGGCAACCTAGAAGAAGCTCCTAGTTCCTAGTTTCTGGCAATGGCGTGGCACAGTTGGCCCAGCTCTGGCCATTGTGGCCTCTGCAGAGTAAACCAGCAACTGGAAAATCTCTCTGTTGCTCCCTCTAATATCTTTTTTTGAAAGTCATGAAAATTCAAAGATTTAAATACAGGCAAATTAAGGGATATAAAACACTTTAATAATGTGTCTATTATAAAAAGTTAAGGAAGGCCAATGGTATTTCACTTTGGGCAGATTCAATAAGAGAGAAAGTTTATGTTGATAATGACATTTCCACATGCTTACACTTTATGAAAATGTTTAAGCCATAGCATAAAAACAAGAATATATCAAATCAAAAGTTTAATAAGAACATTTAAAAATAAAAAGTAAACAATTCAAGTTTACTTTATCGGTTCTCTTAAAAATGGTATGCAGGGGTTGGTGCAATGGTCCAACAGGCTAATCCACTGCCTTGTGATGCCAGCAACATATATGGATGCTGACTTGTGCCCTGGCCGCTCCACTTTCCATGTAGTGCTCCCTGCTTTTGGCCAGAGAAAATGGCACCACGCCTTGGGACCATGCACCCATGTGGGAGCGGCAGAAGAAGTTCCTGGCTCCTGGCTTCAGATTGGCTCAGTTCTGGCCATTGCAGTCATTTGGGGAGTAAACCAACAGATGGAAGACCTTCTCTTTCTGACTTTCCTTCTGTGGGTAAATACACCTTTCAAATAAAATTAATATTTTAAGAAAAAAAGAATAGTATACAATGAAAAGCTGAAACTCTTGCATATTGCTGAGGGAAATGTGAATGGTATGGTCACTAAGGAAAAGAATTTGATAGCTGTTTGAAAGCTAAATAGAGAATTAGTATACAACCCAACATTTCCATTTCTGGGTATATATACAGAAGAAGTACAAATAAGAACTCAGATATGTGTGTGCCAATATTCTTTACACCATTATTCACAATATCAAAGTGGAAATAATCTAGTGCTCATTAACATATAAATGGGAAATATTACATATACAGAGCATATGTTTCAGGAGCTGGTATTAGTGTGCAGTGGGTTAAGCTTCTGCCAGAAATGCTAGTATCCCGTATCTTGGACCTGGTTTGAAACCTGCCAGCTCTCTGCTAATGTACCTGGGAAGGCAGCAGAAGGCAGCCCAAATGCTTGGGAGCCTGCTACTCACGTGGGAGCCTGCCCAACCCCAACCATTATGGCATGTGGGGACTGAACCAGTAGATGAAAGATCTCCCGTTCTCTGTTTCTCCCTTTCTACCACCCTGCCTCTCAGTGTTGTTTTTTCCCAAAGGCTATTTTTCAACCATTATAATGATGAACTTGTAGAACACGATAGGCTAAGTGAAATGTACTAGACATAAATAGGCAAATATTGTATGATTCTATTTATAAGAAATAGTAACAGGTAAATTCACAGAAATAGAAAGTAGAAGTTATCTGTGGCTTGGGAAGGGGGGAGCGGAGAGTGAGAAAATGAAGTGAAAACTATGACTTTCAAGGGTTACGGAGTTTCTGTTTAGGGTTATGAAAAAATTCTAGAAACAGATGGTGGTGATGACTGCACAACACTGAAATATAAATACCACAGAATGCTACACTTCAGAGTGGTTACGAGGAGGCAGGCACTGTGGTTCAGTGGGTTAAGAAGCAAATTATGACACCCACATGCTTATCGAAGCAACCCTTCCAGTCTCAGCTGCTGTGTTTTTGGCTTCCAACCCAACTCCCTGCTAATGAGTCTGCCATCCACGGGGCCAACTCAGATGGAGTTTCTGATTATTGGCTTCAACCTGGCTACTCAGTTGCCTTGGCCATTTGGGGAGAGACCCAGAGAATGCAAGATAATGTGTCTCCCTCTGACTCTTTCGCTCTATCTTCCAAATAAGTAAAATCTTTTTTCAGTGGTGAATTTAAAAAAGAATGGTTAAAATAAGAAACTTTATATATATCCCTAAAATATACATATATATATATATATCCCTAATTTTAAAAATAGCATTCTGTGATTACTTCACAGATTGAAACACAACAGGAAAATGTGGCTGTATAAAAAGTGGAAAGATCCAGTTAGCAGTGAGCATATTCATCAAGCTATTAAACTTGGCCACTTGCATCACGACATTATATACCTCCTGATTTTTTTTATCATTTTAAAAAATATTTATTTGTTTATAAAGGCAAAGTTACAGTAAGATAGGAAAATACAGGGCTATTTTTCATCCACTAGATCACTTCCCAATAGCCATTGTGGGGCTGGGCCAAGTCTAGGAGCCTAGAACTGAATCTGGGTCTCCCCTGTGGGTGTCAGGGGCCCAAACACTTGGGTCATCTTTGGCTGCTTCTCTCTAGCCATAAGCAAAAGATATGGATAGCAAACGGAGTAGCCAGCATGTATCTGTCACAGGCAGAAGCTTCACCTACTATACCACAATGTCAGTCCCTGTCTTACATTTTCTAAAGTTTGGTAGAGTGCTAGTTTATGAACCATAGAAACCAGTAATGTAAATTTGAAATGTCTGTTCCTTCTAAGTTGATTCCTAACTCACATCTCCAGTGGCAGAACAGGCATTTCATCCAGTGGTGAAAACCTTGTCTCCCATCAGCGTACCAACGTTCTTTTCCGTTTGTTTTTAGTTTTCATTATACAGTTTTGTTAGGTATTTAGTTTCCCCTGGTTCCCCCTTTTCCTTCCTCCTCTTCTCCTCTTCTCCTTTTTCCCCTGTATTTTACAATAATACAGTTCTTCAGCTGTGTCACGATTCTAACATTCTGTTATTTACATGTGCCATGACACTGTAGATATACGCAGTGGTATACATTTGCAACCTTCATGCAAAATACACACACACACACAAAGATATACAGGTAAGCAAGCACACAGTTATAGTCTGATAAACAGTGTAATGGAGACTACTATAGTACTAGGAAACAAAGAACTGCAGTAGGCATCTCTACTCCCGAATAAAAGAAGGATCCCCAATTAAACTGTTAAATATATCTTGAAAACAAGATGCTGATTACCTCCTGATATGACATGATGTGGTTTAAACAATGATAATCGTGAGAAATTTTACCTGACCCTTATTTAAAAAAATGATAAATCTAGAACATTGAATATTTCATGAAAATGATATAAGGTTATTCAAGAGAATTTCCTTATATCTGAAAAATATATGTTGAATAAATTAGAGCTGGACTATTATGAAATCTAAAATCTACTTTTCAATGGTTTGGCAAAAGATTGTTGGGAAAGAAGTGAGGAAGAATAAAAGCATTTGAAGATAATAGTAGGTGAATTTAAATGATGAATGAAGGGGCAGACATGTGGCTGAGCAGTTAAACTGCCAGCTAGAGCACCAGCATTCCCCATCAGTCTCCTGGGTTCATTATCCAGTCCTGGATTCTAGTTTCCTGCCTAATGTAGACCCTGGAAGGCAGAGATGAGCGTTCCATGACTAGATTCCTGCCACCAACATGAGAGGGCTGGACTGATTTCTTAGCTCCCAACTTGAGTCTGACCCAATCTCAGGTCTTCCATGTGTCTAGGGAGTTAGCCCACAAAGGGAGCTTTCTTGATCATTCCTCAAACTAATTAAGAATTAAGTTAATTTGAGAAGAAAAATGAAATGAAAGGCTCTTTTTTCAATTCCATTATAGGCTTAAAATTTTTAAGATTTTTTTTTTCAAAATTAAAATTCTGCAATTTCCTCTTTCCTGTTCAAAATATACTCTTAAGAAAGCTAAGTAGATAATGGGTATATACAGCCAATTCAGTGTTTTGCATACCTTCCACATCATACCAGTGTGCACCGTTGGTGATTCCATCTTTGAAAGTCTCCTCTTCATCTCCTGGGCAATGAGGTTCTCCAGTTTTCATTATGGGGTGGTTGGATGCGTAAGCTTTTGCCAAGTACTTGAAGACTTCATCATCTGAGGTTTTGCTATAGATACCAGTGGCCTTATGTTCTGGAGAATCATCAAAAGGATAGCTTGCTACCACCGAGCCACCATGAAGGTTTCCAGAAAGCACAAACCTTTGAAAACACAACCAAATCATCCATCTTTAGAAAGGCACATATATTTTAAAATTCCACAGCATCTTTATAAAAAAATGAACTCCCATATTCCTTGGAGATGTAGAAAACAGCTAACTCTATAAGTAGACCACCACTAACAGAAACAGAAAAGCAAATGGAAACAAAGTATGATTAATTAAAAACCTTACTCAAACAGTTTTTATAATAAAGTTAAGCTCAAGTAGCTTTAGAATTTTCCATCACTGAAAAAGTAACTGAAGAATGCAGAATAAATTCAGGAAATGTCCTAATCAGCCCGAAGTCTATGCACTGAGTTGAACCAGGGAACTTGCCTATATTTAACTTTTTTTGCCCTACAAAAATGGAAACTTCATATAACTCAAGCTAACACTTCATCTCCCAATATGTCAGTTTCATAGAAAATGTGGCTGGAACAAATACATATGAATTTGTTGTAATACATGGGTTAGCTTAATAACCTCTATGCTTTATATATTTGGAGAGAATTTTTAAAACACAGAATCTAACATAAAACAGGATGTATTTTATCTCACTTTAGTTACACATTATACCTATACTAAATTCACATTTTCAAAAGAGAAACCACAATAGAGAAGATTCAGGGGTAAATCATAAAAATAAAACAAAACAAATAAAAAAAAATCTAAAACAGTAAGCTGATTTCAGAAAGAAAACCACAGCAGAGCAAAGCCTAGGTCTCCGCTGCACTATGCTTTCTGATTGGGTCATTAATGAAGTGACACGAATCAGGCTGTTGCCATGAAAGAAACATTGTTTGGTAATTTTCTGAGGTTGTGGATACATCTGAATGTGAACTATTCTGTCTTTTAATAAATCCTCCTCTAAAAAAAGAAAAGGAAGAGTTTTCAAAATGTTTCTATTTAATCAAAAATGTAAGCACAGAAATACTGCAGAATCCTTTTGTGGTGAAAACTAAAAACAAAAAAACCACATTAAGACCTACTTACACATCTTTTCCTTATGTAACAGTTCAAAGTACTGCTTATAAGTAAAGATGAGATACTTTTTTTTATGGTCTCCTGTGAATTTTCTCGCTTATCCCCACTTGTAATTGTAATTAACACATAGGAAATCAGTAGTAATCTCGTTCTACTGTCTTAAAATAGAATTAAACCGTGTCATATGCCAAATATGAAACATTATTTTCAGCACAATCTGTACCATCCCAGAGGAGATCAAACAATGAAAATCACTTTTAACACAGAATCTGTTCATCAGAAGATAGAATTTATAATGGTGATTAAATGCTGGACTAGATTATGACAAGAGACCAATTTAAAACTAATGTAATTATAATTAGCATCCTTCCAGACAGCAGAGGAGAATGCCATTTGGTGTAGCGGCAACAACACGGCTTTGGAGCCAGGCACAGCCAACTAAGAACATTCGGCTTCTCAGATCTGTTGCTCCCCGGTAATATGATCATGTTAAATCACTGAACCTTGGTTTCCATCTCATCTGTAAACTGGAGATTGATGCCACCTCATTCTCAGAGTCCTTATGAAAATTAAACATCTCTTAGAACAAAACTACTCTGTAACTTCTGTGCAACAAGCATTCATTTCTTTGGAGAATCATTGCCTTATAGACTCAAAACTCCAGTCCCTACTTCCAGGACATACACATATTTTGTTAAATGGATACCATAGTAGCAAAGTTTAATGAAGTGAAATAATACAAAGTGTACAGCTGACTGACCAGGTAGCATCTCAGTAAAGTACTGAGAGCTTAAGACATACTCTTAACTCCTCCTACCCATCTCTTCCCCCACAGCTAAGGTATTAATAATCTATTTTCTGATGTGTATTTATAAAGCAGTTAAAGTGTTCCCTCTCCCACCCCACCCCACTGACTGTGGGAGTTATAAACAGCTCGGGCTATTCATTCAGCAACAGTTTAAACGTCAACCTTATGCTAAACATTCTAAATAAGTGAAGCAAACCTACTTATTCAATCACACATTTCTAAATAAAACTTCTAAGTCCTGGAGTCTCTGCTAAAGGCTGTCTCTTTTTGTTTGCCATTTCTTACAGTATTTCTCAAATATGTGGTTAAAATTGCCTAATTAAATACTTTGAGAAAAATGAAATATTTGCACTCCACTAGGGTGACAAATTCAGATTTTCTTTACATTATTTTTAAAGTATTCCAATGCCACTCTAATAATGAAGAGTTCAATAGCAAGTGACACCTATCATAGAAGTTTTAAGGCTACTCTTTGATTCTCTGTCAAATCAACTTTGTATCACATTTCCAATCTTATCTGAAAGGTAGTTTATAGTTTCATGTCAAATCCATTCCCACAAGTGTTTCCCACACTTGACCCTCCGTGTATCACTGACAATTTAAAGTAGCTGCTAAACATATGATCAAAAAGTCTAGGACCAAGCACAGTAGCGTAGTGGCTAAACATGCTCGCTTTGCATGTGCCAGGATCCCATATGGGCACCGGTTCTAATCCTGGTGTCCCCATTTCCCATCCAGCTCCCTGCTTGTGGCCTGGGAAAGCAGTGGAGGACAGCCCAAAGTCTTAGGACTCTGCACCCGTGTGGGAGATTCGGAAGAGGCTCGGGAATCCTGGCTTTGGATCAGTATAGCTCCAGCCACTGTGGCCACTTGGGAAGTCAATCAATGGACAGAAGATGATCTTCTCTGTCTCTCCTCCTCGTTGTATATCTGACTTTCCAATAAAAATAAATAAATCTTTTTTAAAAAAATCCTATAAATACTAAAAAGTCACCAACTCCACAATGCTCTCCAGGTAAATTTCAAACACTAAGAGGAGTGGATGCTTGAAAATTCAAATTTCAAAGATTGAGAAAATTGTAAATAGATACAAATATCCCTAAAACAATCTGTAAATACTCAAACACTAATGTTTTTCACAAAGAAAACACCTCTGGATTTTTGAGATCTGCTCTACAATCTTAGAACTGAAACCTTAGTGAAGAAATGAATTCACTGAAAAACTTCTTTGTTCATGACCTTTATCTTACTTACCACTCAGAAATCACCTTCAAATCGAGACAGAAAGAACAACTATCCTTAAAGCCTGTGACGACACACAAAACCGGGGATGGAGCGGCAGAACTGACACCAGGAAAGGGTGATGAGGCACTTCTCACTTCGCTTTTCTATCTAAAGCAAGGTCCATCTTCCCTCATCTCCTTTTTGCTGTAAATCCGACCCATCTCTCAAGACTCTGGCCAAGGTGGTTCCATTTCCTGCAGTACCCACTCACCTGACAGTGGGAACAACTCGTGTGAAGTTTACTTGGGCACATCAGCACCTCACAGGTGCTCCTATGTATTACCATATTCTCGTGCTCGTTTGCTTCACACACATAAAATTCTCTTGTGAGACATGCTAATTTCTCAAGGTCTTCATGCCCTCTGGATTCCCAAGACCCACACAATACATAATAACACTCAGGGTGAGTGACAACTCCACTGTTACGTCCGGGCCTAGCAATAAGAGGAGGGTGGGCACAGTTGGCAAGAGAAAACCCTGAGAGTGCAAAATGAAACAGTCCTGGGCTGTGCGAGATCTCCAGCCAAATCCATGAGGCCCCTCAGAGGTAGCCTGTAGGAGCCAGGGTCTCTGTCCAGCGAACCAAGAGAAAGACCAGGGAAGGAGTGACCTGTACCATTTCCGAGCTGCAGTCTCAGCACTGGCCACCAATCAGATGGCCTAAATCCCTAAGCCACACTCTCCTCACTTTGTCAGCTAACCAAACTGTCCCTCAACGCAAACCATGGTACATGACCGTGCCATCAGCCTGTGGACGACAGCAAGTGAGCCAAGTGCCCCAGTGCCCACAGTACTAATGCAGCTAACGGCTAGGCCCGGGGGTGCTGGCCTAGCTCACCTTCAAGTTCTCCTCTATCACGCGTAAGCTATGGTCCTGCGAGAGCATTCGACACGGAGGCTCTAGGACAATCGGCAGGACCGGAGGCCTGCGCCCTGGATCCTGGCCCGGTTACCGCCTCCCGCGCGACCCCGCCCCTGGGGCCAGCAAACATCTACTGGGCATTTACTGAGCCAGCTTCCGTACTCCCCCACCGACCCCCCGAGGCTCGCGTGCACGGATGGCGGAAGGCGGGGTGGACGTCCACTCACTTGTTTTTGCGGATCCAGTCGATGAGGGCGCGCACCTCGGGCACCTCGTCCAGGGCCGGGGGCTCTCCGGTGCTGAACTGGTCCGGGAAGCTGCGGTTGAGGTCCCGGCCGTGGCTGTTGTCCCGGCCGCTGGCCCCCGGAGGGCCGCCGTCGCCGAGGCCGCAGTCGCCCTCGCGTGCCCGCTCGAAGCCGTCGGGGTTGAGGCTGGGCAGCACGTAGACGTCGGTGGTGTTGAGCAGGCGGACGAGGCGCGGGTCGCCGCGGCGGTAACCGGCCGCCAGCTCGCGGGCCAGGTACACCAGCACCTGGCGCGACACGGTCTCGTCGCCGTGCATGTTGCCCACCAGCTTCACCTGCGGCCGGCCTGGGATCAGGGGTCCCCCCGCGTCCGGCCCCTCGGCGTCCGGTGCCGCGTCGCCTTCGGGCAGGCCGGCCGTGAGACGCAGCACCCAGAGCGGTCGGCCCTCCACCGAGCGGCCGATGCTGAAGAGGCGGGCCAGGCCGGGGGTCCCCGCGGCGGCCGCCGCCTCCTTCAGCGCCTTGCCCAGCTCCTCTTCGTGATAGTAGCGGTCGAACTGGCCCTCGACCGCCGGGGCGCCAGCGCTCGTTGTGGTCGTGGTGGCCTCCGCCTTCTTGATGTGCGCCGCCCGCGCCGGGCTCCGCAGCAGCAGCAGCAGCAGCACCGGCAGCAGCGCAAGGCTTCGCGGCCGCGGGAGGCGCCCCGGTGGCCGCCAGGGCGGCCGCGCGTCCCCGCCGCTCGCCATCTTCCAGAAGCGCCGCTCAGCCCGGCTCCACTCCCGCAGCTCGGCGCTCCGGGCAGCCGGGGCCGGCCGGATCCCCTCCGCGCCTAGCAACCCCATCCCGCCCTCCTGCCCACAGCCAATCGCAGCCGGCTCTGCTGCTCGTGTCACGCCAGGGGGGCGGGGCTGATCTTAAAGGGGCCGATTTTTTTTTTTCCCCCTCTGGGCGTGTCTTCCCGCCTCAGGTCGCCGGCGGGTTTGGTGCTTCTCCTCCTTGAGCTAACGTTCTTCTCCCGCTGCTGTCCGCTTCCCTTCCACCCCCGCGTCCTTGTCTGCGTTTGCTCTTCTCGCCTTCTGCTCTTTCAGTCTCTTCTGTATGCTTTCTCCCCTGATAGGACCACTCTCCCGCCCCCTCTTTTTTTTTCGTCCGAGTCCTTTTTCTGGCTCCTTCCCATCTTTGTGGCAGCGTCTCTCCGATGAGCCTCTCACGCTTTAGAATGGAAAAGAATCAAAAGGTTCAAAAGAATCAAAGGACTCGAAAAGATCAGTAGGTTCGAAGGAATCTGCGGTGGGCAAGTCCAAGGACGGACGCTTGGACCCGGGCGCATTCCCCTTGGGGTTCGCCCCGCGGTGGCCTGAGGGGTCGCGTCCTGAGGGAGGGCCAGGTCCGCCTGAGTTCCTTGAGGAAGGAAAGTGTCAGCCTTGGGAGGAACGGAAATCCGCCCCCCCCTCAGGTCTCCTGTGGGCTAAACTTACCTTTGGGGGGTGCAGGTCCCCGGTCTCCCCACTTCCCTGCGTGGGCCGCCTAGCTCTCCGTCAGCAGATTTCATCTTGCCCTTGCTCACCTCTTGGCACCTCTTCCGGGCGCGTTATAAATATCCCCACAGCCCCGGAATGGCATTATCGTTATTATTATTTTGAATGTTTCAGGGTTGACACTTCTGGAATCGCTCAGCGTCCAGCCGAAGCTGGCACACACAGTGTTTAATTCAGCCCAGAGAAAGGGGTCTTTTGAACCAGCCTTGAAGGCAGGAGTGGGCTTTAGTGACTTGAAGAAACACAATTGGACAATCTCTTTATTCAGTTTGAAATTCTACCCATCTAACCACCTTACCGCAATAACTGTTGTAAACTTACTTTTTTCAGAATCAGATATTTCAAGGCTCCCCCTTTCTTGAACTCTGAACCCAGATAGGACTAGGAGAATTTATTCATGCATGGATCAAGTATTTATGGGGCAGTTCCTGTATGCCACAGTTAGACGTCAGGAAGCAATTTCATTTTGGCTGGGGAGAGTTAGGGTTTATGATAAGTGTTGAGGATAGAGGTGTGAGGGGGCACAGGGGAGGTAAATCTGAGGCAGGGAGAGGAAGAAGAAAGAAGCCAGCGGGGGAAGGAGGGATTGTGATCAGCAGAAAAGGACATACAGTTTACTCTGGGAATCACCAAAAGGTCAGGATGGCTGGAGTGATCGAACTCACCTGCTATTGAAGTGAAGCTAGAGAAACAAAGCCTTGCAAACCAGGGCTCGGGAAGCACACCCCCATTCATCCAGGAGACCCCAGAGACCCCAGGGGGAATCAAAAACTCACTTAGAAAACTCCCACTGACAATAATATGGAGCTTAGCTTGAGAGGCCCAACGCTTGAGGCAGAGATGAAACACCAATAGACATGATGAGGGCTTGGACCGGTAATGGGTGAGGGAAGGAAATATACTGAAAAGACCTGCAGATACGGAAAGCAGACAAAAGCTGGTGACAGGCTAAGCAGATTGGCAGGTGCTTGTTCGTTGAAGTACAGGATGAGAGTATGCTCCCACAGCCTTAGGTGAAGTTGTTGAGTTGTGTGCTACACCCTGGGAGCAAGCACGTGTCGCGAACACCGAGCCCGGTCACCAGAACAAATGCCAAGAGTCGAGAGTGGGTGCTTTGCAATCAAGCATTCAAGCATTTATTCAGGCAAGCACACACCAAACAGGATGGGGGAAGCCACCGAGAGTGCCTCTTGACTTCAGTCTCATGGAAGTCTGCTGGGCCTTTGGCTCCGGCCTCGTGGGAGCCTGCAACTTCGAGTGGAAGCCCAAAACCTTGGCTCCGGTCTCGTGGGAGCCTACTGGCTTCTCTGGCTCCATCCTTGTGGGAGCCTGCAAGTTCCAGTGGAAGCCCAGGGGCTTTTGGCTCCGGTCTAGTGGGAGCCTGCTGGCTTCAGTAACTGGGACAAATGCATGGGTTTATATACAAATTCAGGGGCAAAACAGGCAGTTGTTTACAATATTTTGATTGGTTATTACATATTACCTATCAATAACACTTGCTTTTTCTTAATTCTAAAAAACATGCATATTCATTCTCAAAACATACTTATTCATTAATATACAATTATTTCTTCTTTTATCATTCCTACCATGACATGCTTACGTACATTGTGGCTTCTTGACAAAGGTGATAAGGGGAGGGCTTGTGCGCCTAGGAGTCTCTTGACAGGAGCGATAAGAGAGGAGGCCCCATTTCACCAGTAGTTTAGGAGGATGGAGTCACCTTTGTTAAAAGACTCTAACATACACACTATATCCATTATTAAGTCACAGCATAACTTACAAAGGAGATCTATTATTGCAGCTATTTCTGGATCATCAATTTCTGATAAAACTATAACAATATTGAGGATACAATTAAGATTATTAATAATACTCCAACCCATATTTCCCAAAGCTCCATTTTTATTTATGGTCATGTTTTGCTGGAGCAATGTAAATGTAAAGTACTTATAGTCAGACTGTTCCTATCAGCACGTCAGGCAGTGGCTTCTCTCACATGCCACATTTGGTCTGGCCATGATGTACAAGCAGCTGCAGCTCATCAGAAACAAAGCCCCACATCTGCGCATAGCCCACTCTTCCTCTGGGAGTGTTTAATCATGGCATCAGGCACTTCTACAACTGTAGGAATTGAAGAAGCCCCAGGGGACATGTTAACTACTAATCAAATATTTCCTTTTCTACCATTTTCACTCTCCTCCGAAGCCTCTTCCTGCCCCTTTCCTCGTGCTGGGGAGGCGCTGATGTGTAAATAAACAAAGCCTGAAGGCGGTGGAAAAGTGTGAAGTAACTTGAGCCCCAGCCCTCCCAGGAATCCCCAGACCTCCCACAGTGCAGCCTATTGGAGTCCCCTCCCAGGTTTGGACGCTTCTTAGCAGGTGCATTGTTCCCTGGGTGATTCACAAGGAAACCCAAAGCTCTGAACTCAGGTCCGTGCGCGCTGGAGGGGAAAAGGGGAGGTGGAGATCCGGGTTTCATGTTTGCTTACCTGAATACATCCTTCCGTGTCTGGGAAGGCTTGAACCTTGAGACAAGTGTCTCTTCCCCACCTCTTACCCGGTGAGGGAACTTGGAGAAGCCTTAAATGCAAAGGAACGCTTCCTGTTTACAGAAGCAGAGTGGCAATGACCTAATTTTTCAAACAGGAAGAAATTTGTCAGTCAATCTGATTCAGTATCTACTTTCTTTCTTCTTCATCGTCTTTTTTTTTTAAATAAATTTTATTTTTAAAACTTGTTTATTCTATTTGGAAAGGCAGATTTACAGAAAGAAGGAGAAAGATCCCCTGGTTCACTCCCTGAGTGGCTGCAATGGCAAGAGCAGAGCCAATCCAAAACTGGGAGCCAGGAGCTTCTTCCAGGTCTCCCATGCAGGTGCAGGGTCCCAAGGCTTTGCACCGTCCTCGACTGCTTTCCCAGGCCACAAGCAAGGAACTGGATGGGAAGTGGAACAGCTGGGATACGAACTGGCACCCATATGGGATCCTGGCGCATGCAAGGCGATGACTTTAACCACTAGGCTCCTGTGCTGGGCCCTCTATTTTCTTTCCAAGACTTCTTTGTGGGGTTAGGGAATGTTGAGGCTGCAGGTTAAGCTCCTTCCATACCCTTGGCATGTCCACATCTTATTTCAGAGTGCTTTGTGGTAACTGGTACTTACTCCACTTTTAATTTGGATGCCTGCCCATGTTCCTGGGAGGTAGCAGATGATGGCTTGCATACTTAGTTTCCTTTCACTTGGATGGGACACCTAGATGGAGTTCCTAGCTCCTGGTCCTAGCCTAGTCCAAAGCTGGCTGTTATAAGCATTTGGGAGAATTTACCAGTTAATGCATGACCTGGATGACCTCTCCCTTTCTGCTATTTTTCCTTTCAAATAAATAAATATTTTTAAAATAAATTAAAACTGTATAGGTAATTAAAGCGCAGCTTGTTAATGAACTTGTAAATGTCTCATTGTCTGGCACAAGCACCTACAGATCTGTAAATTGTCTTGGGAGCTCTGCTGCGTTGGGTACAGGAGGATTGAATGATGAAAAGGGCACAGGGTTCCCCTCCCAGAGGCTGAGGGTCCATGACACACAGAGAGTAAAGGACAGGATGGGTCTGTGAGGCCAGAGCTGTGGAATACGCACTGTCCTGAACACTTTCATATTGGTGGCCTCATTTAGTTCTCACAAGAAACCTCTGACAATTGTTATTACCATTCCCACTTAAGAAGTGAGGATGGGCCCAGTGCTGGCTGGATTCTTGCCTTGTATCCTCTGTGATCCCTTATGGGTTGTGGTTTGTGTCCCAGTTACTCTGCTTCCCTTCCAGCTCCCTGCTTGTGGCCTGGGAAAGCAGTAGAGGGTGGTCTAAAGCCTTGGAACTCTACACCTATGTGGGAGACCTGGAGGAGGCTCCTGGCTCCTAATTTCAGATTGGCACAGCTCCAATTGTTGTAGCCACTTGGGAAGTAAGCCAGCAGATGGAAGACCTTTCTCTCTGTATCTTCTTCTCTCTGTATATCTGCCTTTCCAATAAAAGTAAATCAATCAATCAATCATTTGTTTAAGAAGTGAAGAAATTGAAGCACAAGGTCACATGGCTGACAAGCTACTGATTCTGGGCTCCAACTGAGAGTTTGGCTTTGTAGTCTGTGTGTTTAACCTGTTAAAATTAAACTGCTTCTACATAGTACATTTAAAAACAGGATCAGCAACCTGCTTTTGGAACACAAAGAAAAAGCAATAGTGATG